CTGGGGCTATTTTGGGACCATTGGCTCAGTAGTGGGGACAGCCAGAGGAGCAGTGACACCTGACACCAGGAAAGAATTTTCCTGTGGTGTTTGGGGAAACAGGGCTCTGGGTCTGGGGGATGAAGATCCAGGAACTGTCCTTGAAGTCTTTTCTGGAAGGGTGTGGGGGCAGCAGAGTTGGGGGTAGTGCCAGGAGGATTCTGCTTTCAGGCTGGAGCCACTTCCCATCCTGGCTTATTTGGAAAATGGTCAGGGACATAGGAACCCGAGAGCAGCCAAGTGCTGGAGAAGCAAGAGGACGGCTAGGGGGAGGGGGGTGAGGAATAACTCCAGGTGAGGGGGGCTGGGGTCTCAGCCCTGGAGTGAGCGTCCTGCCAGTGTCCAGCCAGGGACACTGAGAGATCCACAGGAAGCCATCTTCCCAAGTAGGCATCTGGGGGAGGAGAAGCATCCTGGGAGGCTGTGGCTGAGGTTCTGGCTGAGTTCCCCTCTTAGGGCCTATTTCTGCCAAAGTGGCAAGGGGAAGAGGAGGCCACTGTAGGTGTCCTTGTGTCCTATGGTTGCCTTGTATGGTTTCCTCCCCTGGTCAGCTTGAACAAGGGCAGCTCCAGAGTCCTTGGGCATGTGCTTGGGGTGCCTGGCCCTGCTGATTGGTAGGAATGCCTGCCTGACCAGGTTGCCGTGAGGCTCTGGCTCTGAGGCTGGCATATCTTGGTGAGCCTCCTCAGACCTCATGAGGTCAGCTGCATCAAGGGTAGGGAATGCAGACTCTAGACAGGGAGAGGGCATCAGTAGAGTCCCTAGTGACCTTAGAGAATCTCAGGGTCTCTGCCCACCCTTGTCAGGCCAGAGTATAGACAGCCTGTACATCTGCTGAGGCTGGGGCAGGCTCTCCCTAAGCATATGCAGAGATGGGAGCTCCCTCCTTGTCCTTCTGGCCCTAGAGGCCCAGGCTGTAGAGGTGGTTCCCTGCCCCCCAACCCCACATGCTCACTTATGAGCTCAGAGCAGCTTCTTTGGCACCTACTCTGGGTGTGTGTGTGTATAGGGGGTGGGGTGGGGGCAGGCTGCCGTGTCCTGCCTTGAGAAACCCATACACTGACTCTGATTTTGGGTGGCCACTGGGAACAGCTCAGGGCTCAGGGTCCTCAGAGACTTGAGGTCAAAGTAATCCTTCCACAGAGGGATAACAAAGCCCTGGAGGGCATCCATGGATAGCTGCCCTCCCAGGTCCTCCCAGGCCTCCCTGCCAGGCCGTGGGTGTGTGTGTGTGTGTGTGGGGGGGGTGGTGGCTGGTGGGGTGGGGGATAGAGGTGCTGACTTCACAGTGAGTCAGCAGGCTGGTCTGGGTTTAGCCTCCTTGATTGGGATTAAGGGGGATTAGGTGCTGAGTCACAGGACCAGCAGCAGAGGACCCAGAAACATTTCCCCTATTCTCTGGTGGTGAGCAGCCCATGCTTGGAGGCTAGAAGCCAGTCACCTAGGCTGGAGAGTGTTAAAGTGCTTGGGGCCAGCCAGAGGCCCAGTGAGGCCCTCTGTGTTCACTGTTCTTACAGAAGCCCCTGAAGGGAAGGCTCAGTCTCACCTCACGCACCTGTGCTGGGACCAGTGAGGATAGAGGCCAGAATCACCTAAGCCATCTAACACTGATGGTGCCAGTCCTGTTTATGCAGGGTGCCCAATTGGTGAAGCCACAGAGTGAAAGGGCTGTCTGCAGCCCCCCAGGTTTGGTTCAGCTAGCTGGCCTGGCTTGGAGATAGCTGGCTCTTCCTTGAGGATCCTCTGCTGTCCTCTGCAGGCACACTGATGACTGCTCTACCCAGACAGTCTTGCTTCAAGTTCCAAAGCAGACAGAAACCAAGCAATTACAGTGAGGGGGCCGGGCAATCTGGTAGGCTGAGCGCATTATCATGTTAGGAGATTGCCTGGCTGCAGAGTTTCCATTTCTTCCCTGGTCACTGATGGACACAATCCACCAGGTGTTGAGGAGTGGAGGACTCCTGGAGAGGTGAGGTGCGCCCTGGCCCAGGGTGGCTGCAGGTGGGACAGACCTGTGCATAGGGCTCCCTGTCATGGGTACCCCTGGGCAAGGGGGACTGACATGCATGCATCCCCAGGTGGGGCCCAAAGGCTTTCCGTAGTCACTTGGGGGGCAGAATGGGGGCAAGGGGGAGGTTAAGAAAGCACACTGGGCTGAGGGCTCCAGGAAAGCCTGTGACATCTGGTGTGCCACAGTCCGAGAGAGGGGACAGGCCAGCAGTGTGCAGCCCACCCACTGTGGGCTTCCCATAGCCAGGCCCTTTTCAGGAGCAAAGAGCTGTCCCTTCTTTGAGTAGGAGAAAGGTATGCAGACTGCAGTTTCTGGCCCCAGGAGGCAACAGTGTGTGGGGGAAGGGACAGGACACCTAAGACAGTTGGAGTGGCTCAGGGTGCACACAGCAACTCTGCTTAGCAAGGTACTGTGTGGCTGGTGGAGGTAGAGGCTGGTGCCAATGCGTGATGCCTCAGAGGGAGGGGGACCTGGCTGCTGTGGTGTCCGGGGACAGGTGCTCAGCTGGACCTGAAGTTGGGACAGCAGGAATGAAGTTGGGGGGAGAGGCTGGAGATGCTCTCCCATTAGAGAACCTGTTTGGGGGTGGAGCCAGACCCCACATCCTCAGAAAAAGGCATATCTGCTCTTTTGAACCACAGTGCCTTCGATCTGATCCGTGGGGAATGGGAGCTGGATGGAGGAGGGGCATGTGCAGGTGTCTACCTGGGTAATGGGTTCTCCAAGCTGCACTGATGGGTGAGGTGGTCAGGTGGAACAAAGGTGGTAGGCTCTGAGAGTGCCAGGGGCTTATTTCCATTATGTCCTTTCCCACCCATCTCGCAGGTCTCCCCACCCCCACCCCTGCTTCTGCCATGGCTCACTCCTCATTCAGCGGCGCGCCCCGATTCCTGACTCGGCCTAAGGCCTTTGTGGTGTCGGTGGGTAAGGACGCCACGCTGAGCTGCCAGATCGTGGGCAACCCCACGCCACAGGTGAGCTGGGAAAAGGACCGGCAACCGGTGGAGGCGGGTGCTCGCTTCCGCCTGGCCCAGGAGGGCGACCAGTATTGCCTCACTATCCTGGATCTGGCGCTCGGAGACAGCGGACAGTATGTATGCCGCGCGCGGAACGCCATTGGTGAGGCTTTCGCAGCTGTGGGCCTCCAGGTGAACGCTGAGGCCGCATGCGCGGAGCAGGCGCCCCACTTCTTGCTGCGGCCCACATCCATCCGTGTGCGCGAGGGCGCAGAGGCCACCTTCTGCTGCCGTGTGCGCGGCTCGCCGCCTCTGGCAGTAAGTTGGGTCAAAGACGGGAGGCGCCTGGACTCGCATGATGCCCCTCGAATGAGCATGGAGGCAAGTGGCGAGGCGAACGCGCTGCGCATCCTGGCCGCGCGGCCGCGCGACGGCGGCACCTATACTGTGCGCGCCGAGAACCCGGTGGGCACCGCCAGTGCCGCGGCCGCGCTCACGGTGGATGTGGATCCTGGCTCTGCAGGCCCTCCTGGGGCCTGCACTGAAGCGCTGCTGTCGCATCTGCAGCGGCGGCGGGAGGCCATGCGGGCTGAGGGAGCTCCTGCCTCACCGCCCAGCGCCAGCACGCGCACCTGCACGGTGACTGAGGGCAAGCACGCACGCCTTAGCTGCTATGTGACAGGCGAGCCCAAGCCCGAGACGGTGTGGAAAAAGGATGGGCAGCTGGTGGCCGAGGGCCGGCGACACGTAGTGTACGAGGATGCACAGGAAAACTTTGTGCTCAAGATCCTCTTCTGCAAGCAGTCGGACCGTGGTCTCTATACCTGCACAGCATCCAACCTTGTGGGCCAGACCTACAGCTCCGTGCTGGTCATTGTTCGAGGTGAGCTGGGGTGCTGCTCATCTCTGCTGTAGTCACTGCCGGTGAATGCAAGCGAGACTCCTCCTTGTCTGTCAGGTAGTGGACTCAGAGTTGGAAGCTCTGGTGGCTCTCTCTTTAACCAGTCTGCAATATTCGGGTGGCAAGGGAATGACCCTAAGCCTGTCCCCCTGTCTTTGTGTCACAAGAGTAAAGAAGAAAGCGCTTTGTCACCGGCACTCTTTCCCCATGGGAGACGATAGGGGAGCCGGTAGCTGAGCCTGCCCAGTCCAGGGTGAGGATGACCCAGGCCCTCCCCCTCCCCTGGATGCTTAAGGGGTGTGTGTGTGTGTGGAGGGGAGTATCTTCCTAATGAAGAGTGAAGGAGGGCAGGAGCGAGAGCAAACCCTTGTGCTCTTGGAGGGCTTGGGTCCGGTGGCCGTGCAGCTTGAGTCTAGGCCTAGGCAAGTGTGGGCAACACGGTCAGGTTTTATTGGGCAGCTCATTTATCCTGCACTCCTAACACAGGCCTCTTGAGTGCTGGGCGTTTCGCCTCCACTTTATTACCCATCTCGCTGGCTGTGTGATCTCCAAAAGGGCGTGTGTTCTTTGCATGCAGGCGGGGTAAATGCCCCTCCACCTCGGGGGTCCCCTAGGAAGCTGTATGGGCAAGATTCCTGTGGCTGCATGACCTGGGCAGCAGCCAGCACTCTGGGAGTTTAACAATTTCGCTGGAGGGTTCTGGTCCCGCTGCCTCGCTGGGAGGTTAGAGGAGGGGCCTGTTCAGGGTGAGGTAGGCTGTAGCTTCACCTGCCTTATCGCTTCTTTTTTCTTCCAGACTTCTTATATTTGAGAGGAGGGGATCTTTTCTTTAATTTCTGTCTTTTCTCCCGGATCTCCTTCCCTTCCCTCCTCAGTTCTCCCACTTATCCCCTGTCCTGCAGCCCCTCCAACCCCTGCTTCCACTTCCTGCCCCCACCTGAGCACATTCTTGTCCTTAGCCTATCCTGCCCTACCCCGCCCTACCCATCACACTTCCTGGCATCCCCACCTGCATTTCCTTTCCTTGCCCGGCCCAGACATCCCACCTTGCTCACTCCCCCATCTCCCCTCAGAACCCTTGGTGCCCTTCAAGATGCGTCTGCAAGACCTGGAGGTGCAGGAGAAGGGGTCAGCCACGTTCCGGTGCGAGGTGCCGCTGCTGGGCACGGAGGCCGTGTGGTACAAGGAAGAGACGCGGCTGTGGGCCGGCACCAAGTATGCCATCGAGGAGGTGGGCACAGAGCGCCGGCTCACCGTGCACAACGCCTCTGCCGATGATGATGCAGTGTACATCTGCGAGATTGCTGAGGGCAGTCGTACTGTGGCAGAGCTTGCAGTACAAGGTGGGTATACGGGGAACACGATAGAGGGGGTTGTGGAGTGTGGGACAAGGATCCACGAGACTGGTGGGGGTGCAGGCAGTTGGTTTGACTAGCCCCTGGCTCTGGCCATTGTAGGCAACTTCATCCGAAAGCTCCCGAGAAAGACAGCGGTGCGAGTGGGGGACACTGCCATGTTCTGCGTAGAACTGGCCAGACCGGAGGGCCCTGTGCACTGGCTTCGGAACAATGAAGAGTTGGTGGTGGGGGGCCGCATAGCCATCACCACTGAAGGCACACACCACACTCTGACCATCTCCCAGTGCAGCCTAGAGGATATGGGTGAGGTGGCCTTTGTGGCTGGGGACTGCCAGACGTCCACCCAGTTCTTCGTGTCAGGTAAGAGCCTGGGGAGGGCTTCTCCAGTGGAAGAGGTGTCTCTTGCCACCATACATGCATTGGGCCCAGTACTGGGCCCACATATGCTCAGTAGCCTCAGGAAGGGCATGAGGGCACATGTCGTTCAGGCTGTAGCTCTGGTTCCCTCAGACCCTGAATTGTTTGATGCCCTCCTCCATTATGGTCTCTCTAGGCATTGGCATAGTGGGAGTCTTGGTAGCCCCTCACCCCACCAACCAAATTAGAAGGTGCAGATTGTTCTAGAAGCACACTGTGTTAAGTGTGTACGCGTGCGCCCGTGTGTGTGTGTGTGTGTGTGTGTGTGTGTGTGTGTGTGTGAAGGCTGTCCTGTGTGAGCATGTCTTCTTTTTGTGGCCTTTGGTGTCTACATTGTAGATTGGGTGATGGTTCCCTACTATGTTCATTCCCACAAGGCTAGCTCTTGGCTGGGGGCAGGGATGTGCCACTCCACACAGCCTCAGCACCCTCAGGAGGGTCACTCTGCCCTGCCTCAGCCACTGTCCAGCAAGACTCCAATGCACTGATGGGATCAAGGCCCAAAACTGGAAGGTGTCTGTCCTCAGGACATGTGGACAGCTCATGGTGGCGCAGGGCCAAATGTGGCCTTGAAGCCAGGGTTCCCTTTCTGTTGCAACTAGAGAAACGGCCACAGGGTGGGACCAGGGGTCATGGGCCTGCAGCTTCTCTTCAGGCTGGCCTTCTACCCCAGGCTGTAGCATTTCAGACCATCAGAGTAGTGCCCCCTAGGGCACTCCGCTTCTCTAGAGTGATCTTAGACCTATGGCTTGAGGAGGGTGCTCCCAGTTGGTAACAAGGGCCTGTGCTCTACCCAGCCCCCAGGAAGCCACCACCACATGCCCCTGAGGCCCCTGTGGTGAAGGCCAAGACAGAGAATTCTGTGACTCTCAGCTGGTCCCCACCACCCCATGGGGACTACCCTGTCACCATTGATGGCTACTTGGTGGAGAAGAAGCGACTGGGCACCTACACCTGGAGCCGGTGCCATGAAGCCGAGTGGGTGGCCACTCCTGAGCTGACTGTGGCCTGCATGGCTGAAGAGGGGGACTTCCAGTTCCGAGTGTCAGCTGTAAACAGCTTTGGCCAGAGCTCCTACCTTGAGTTCCCAGGGACTGTCCACCTGGGTAAGTGTGGAAGGTTCTGTTCCCCATGGCTTCCAGGTAATGGCCTGCAGTAAAATCTACTGTGAAATCACCCAGACCTAGAGCATAGCCCAGCCTCAGTGAGGCCACAGTGATTCATGGAGATTTTTTATTGGGAGGTGGGGTTACCAGGGTCCTGATGCTGTTGGAGTCTCCTCTTTGGGAAGAAGGGACTGTGAGACAGAAATTGAGCCCCCCAGAAACCTATCTGTGTCCACCAGCCTCAGGGGACCAGGCTTCATAGCTTCACCCCCCACCTTTGGTTTGTGAGATCCGGAGGAGATCTTGGGTGGCTCTAATTTGTCCCTACTCTGTCCTGAGCCCTGTGATCTCTTGTGGTTGCTGTGTGCCTATCTGATGGGCTTCTTGGGGGAGGAGGCATTTGGGTTCAGGCTCTGGGAGAAGAAGAAGAGGAAAGGTCAGGTGCAATGCTCCTTCCTGAAGCCCCCACCCCACAGCATCCCAGTTGGCTGTGAAGATGCCTCTGAAGGCAGTGAAGGCTGTGGAGGGCAGTGAGGGGACCTTCTCTGTGGACCTCATTTCGGTCTCTGGGGGTGAGTGGTTCCTGGATGGGCAAGGCCTGAAGGCCAGCAGCATGTACATGATCCACTGTGATGGTACCCGGCATACCCTCACCATCAGCTCAGTGCCTGCCAGCCTGCATGGTGCTGAGCTCAAGTTCATGGCCAGTGGCATCGAGAGCAGTATTTGCATGGAGGTTCAAGGTAGGGGAACCCCAGCCAGTGACCCCTAGGGCCTCTCCAAGTTCTGTTTCCTCTGAGGTTGGGGACAGGAGTGGGACATGTGTCCCTAGGCCCCAGGGCCTAGAGTGCTGGTGGATTGTTGGGTTTGTGGCCTGGACAAGCAGGACCAGATGATGAGGTAGGATGAGTGAAGCAGTTTGTCTAGCCTGATGGGTGTCCCTAGCCACAGGGTATGAGTAGATGAGGGGCTGGGGGCTCCTGATGATGCAGAGCCTCATGTCTCTGTCTGCTCCTCTTTCCCTCCTCTTCTTCCACTCTCTGTCACTTCCTCCTCTCCCTCCGACCACAACTCTTCCCTCCACATCCTCTTTCTTCACCTGTGGAGGCCCCCAGTGGCCACAGGGCTGACTACCAAGCTTCCAGGGAAGATTCAAGAGGTGCTGGCCCGGCTGCACGAGGAGACACAGCTTCTGGCTGAGCTTTCAGACAAGGCTGTGGCTGTAACATGGCTCAAGGATGGCCGAGCATTGCCTCCGGGCCCCATGTATAAGGTGTAAGCTTCAGCAGGGCAGCAGGCACTGCTGGTGCGGGATGTGGCCTGAGATGACGCTGGCCTGTATGAGTGTGTCAGCTGTAGGGGCCACATCGCCTACCACCTGTCAGTTCAAGGTGTGTGTGTCCATGTCCTTCTGGCCACTGCTACAGCCACAGTATTCTGTACCCCAATGCTGGGTAGGATAGGGGGCAGTTTCAGGTGACCGTGGGGACAGTGGCTCAGGTTACCCCCATCATGGATTTGAGAGGGGTAGGCTCAGATAACTCCATGGGGACAGTGGGGGCATGGAAGGGGGCTCAGCCTACCCCAGGGGGAGAGATGGGGTGGGGGCTCTGTTCAGTAGAGGGAGGGACCCTGTGGGGAAGTCCTAATAGTTTATGGCATTGGGTGGTTAGAAGTCAGCAGCAGGCTCTCTGTTAAGGGGAGCTGGTCTGGGCTGAGCCAGGTTCCACATGGTCCTGAAGCCCTAAGTGCCTCCATTTGCTAGTGCATGGATGTGCTTATAGTCAGAGCTCTTACTGTTCCCTGACCCCCAGCTGACTTCTCAGGGCTCACACCCTTTCTGCACAAGGACTCGGTGGGTAGCTGTGTGGACACAGTGGCTGGGGGCCCAGCCCATTTTGAGTGTGAGACTACAGAGGCCCACGTGCTGGCTCAAGGATGGCTCAGAGCTTGGCCAGTCCTGCCTGCACTTCTTGCAGGAGGACATGGGCACAAGATGTCGGCTGGTGGCCAACTTGGTCACCAAGCTAGATGAGGGTACTTATCCATGCCACGTGGGTGAATACTTTGTGGATTTCCAGCTGCATGTTTGTGGTGAGCTGATAACTCCCGGGCTTGGTGGGTGGGGAGCAGGTCCGGCTGCATCTGGCACTTGCCAGGGTCTTCATTGCTTATGTGAATGCTTGGGTGGGGCAGTTGCTTTGTTTTGGGAAAATAAATTACCCACAAAACTAACACTGAGATGGATGAAGAATGCAAAATAAGAAGGAAATATGAAGTCCTTATTCTTCTTTTAAAGATCAAAGGCAGCTGAGAGGACCCAAAAGGTGCTGGAAGCATCTTCAGTAGGATAGATTTGGATCTCAGTGAATATGAGGTCCTGGCTCTTTCTAGAAGCCACTGGGGCCTCTTGGTGCATTCTCTGAGTCCTACTTCACCCTAACCTGGCCTCCAGGAGTGGCTATGCCAGCCCTATATGCCCCACCTCGGTCCTGAGGCACCAGTCAGGGCCCCTGTATCTGGGAGGGCTGTATCTGCAGTACCTGACTACAAAAGATCTCATGGGGACCCGTGGTTGCTTGAGCCTCTGTTTTTGCTCCAGGGATCACCTCTATGGGGCCTCTGACTATGCACCCCTCCCTGTCCTCAGAGCCCACAGTAGTATTTGCCATAGAGCAGCCAGCACACAATGAGGTGTAGGTTGTGGCGGGGGCCAGCACCACACTGAGCTGTGAGGTAGCCCAGGCCCAGACAAAGGTGATGGGGTATAAGGATGGCAAGAAGCTCAGTGGGAGCTCAAAAATACACATGGAGGCTATGGGCTGTACACAGAAGCTGGTGCTACAGCAGGTGAGGGAGGTGGATGATGGGGCGTACAGCTGTGAAGCTAGGGGCCAGAAGGTCACCTTCCATCTGGATGTCACAGGTCAGTTGACAAAACAGAGATTTGACTACCACGGGAACAGGTCTGGAGAAGCATTTTAGAGTGTGTGAAGGGCCAGCACTCAGAAGCTTATTAGGGCCTGTTCAGTCAATTATTTGGTGCTGAGTAACAAATATTTCCCAAACTCAGAGGTCTGAAAGAACAATTGGTTACTGTCACAGTTCTGTGGGTCAGGGCTCAGTGGGGATGGTTTATCTCTGCTCATGTGGTTTTAATGGGGACAGAAGGAGCCATCCTGGTCTCATTTGTGCATCTGATATCCCAATTAGAATGGCTGCTATGGATGGGGGTTGGTGAGGGTGATAGGCCTCTCTCTTCTGTGATGTTGGCTGGCCTCACTCCTATTTGTGAGACACCATTCTGTTCTCATGACATCTCACCCAAAGACCTTTTTCTCCATGTGGACAGCCTGGGCTCCTTCATGTAGTGTCTGGGTTCCCTCAGGGAATAGTAGATACTACAGGGCTTATTAATATCTGTTTTCAGCCATCCCAGAATGTTATCCCCCTCTGTGCCCTATTGCATAAAGCCAAGTATAAAGCCAACCTGATTCCAAGGGGGTGGAGAAGTAGATCCCAGTGGCACATTGGGGACCACATCCAGTAGTCTATCACAAGGACATCGCAGGGACTCAGGCTCTGTCTGTTACTAATGCTCTGCCATACTGAGCATGTTAACCTTTTTCTTTCAAATGCTTATTGCCTCATGGTCACAAGATGGCTTTCACAGTTCCAGCCATCACATTCAAGATGGGAAGAATGGCCCTGGTTGATTTGGCTCAGCGGTTGGAGCGTTGGCCTGTGGTCCAGAGAGACCTGGGTTCAGTTCCCGCTAAGGGCACGTACCTCGGTTGCAGTTTGTCCCCAGCCCTGGTTGGGTCGTGTGGGTGGTACTCGATGTGTCCCTTTCACATTGATGTTTCTCTCTCTCTCTCTCTCCTTCCCACTCTACCTGAACAAAAAATGGAAAAATGTCCTTGGGTGAGGATAAAAAAAAAAAAATTAGACCATTCACAGCCTCAATTATGAAAAAGGAAGAGTAAAGTGATTGTACAAAAAAAAAAAAAAAAGATGGAAAGAATGTGCAAAGGTTGTCTCATAATTTTTTGTTTATGTTTTTTACTGCTGTGCAGCAAATGATCACAAACTCAGTGGCCTCAGTGGCTTAAAACAATGTCTGTTGACTGGCTCACAGTTCTGTAGATGAAAAGTCCGGCATGGTATGTCTGGGTTCTCTGTTTAGGGTCTCAAAGGTTGGAATCTACATGCTGTTGGCTGAATATTCTGGGAGTCCTCTTCCAAGCTCATCCAAGTTGTTGGTGAATTTCTTTCTTTGTGGTTCTGGGTCTGATCTGTTTCCTGGCTGGCTGGCAGAAGGAGGCTACTTTTGGACCTTTGCCATATGGTCCCTCCATCTTCAGGCCAGCTATGGAGAATCCCCCTTATGTCCATTCACTCTTGTGCTTTAAATTTTTGGCCAGGAAGAGCCCTTTCCTTTCAGGGCTCACCTAATTATTTCAGGCCCACTCAGGGTCATCTTCCTTTTGATGAACTAAGAGTCAGCTGACCTGGGATATAAATTCCTCCTGCAGAATCTTTTCACAGCAGTGCACACACAGATTAGCATGTTTGGTGGACTAGCCAGGAGAAACTGTGAATATACCAGGACAGGAATCGTAGGGGCATTTCTATCTAGCACAGGGTATCACCTGTTGTCTTCTCTGTTTGGAAGGCACATACTCTCTTTTCCAGGAGCCTGAAGCAGATTTTCTCTTATGCCTCCTGTTAGGTGTGCATCCCACAGCCACACCTTACTCCAGGCAGTCTGGGATGTGAGCCCCTGGCCTTCCCGCCTTGTCAGTGGGACATTGAGGGTGGAGGAGGTGGGTCTGTTGAGGGGGCTGTGCTACAGGTCAGCCCACTCTCACAACAGGGTGGTCATACCCTTCAAGGCTGGCTGTGGAGGGGTCAGAGTGTGGACAGGGTCAGACCTCACTTGTGCCTCTTAGTAGCCAGGTGACCTTGGGTAAGTTGTTAATGTCATGTACTCCTAAAATTCACACCAGAACCTCAGATTGTGGCTTTATATGAAAATAGGATCTCTGCAGATGTTATCACTAGATTATCTCTAGATGAGATGACCCTGGATTACATGGGCTCTGAATCCAATGACAGGGGTCCTTATAGAGAAAGAAAGGCAAGATTTGAGACACAGACATGCAGAGATGGCCATGTGACGATAGAGGCAGGGATGGGATTATGCAGCCACAAGCCCAAGGACACTTGGGGCACCAGCAGCTGGAAGGGGAAGGAAGGATCCTCTCCTGGAGCCCTCAGATGGAGCATGGCCTTGTAACATCTTGATCTTAGACCTCTGGCATCCAGACCTGGAGAGGATAAATTCCTATTGTTTTAAATCCCCATGTATAGTCATTTGTTCTAGCTGCCCTGGAACCTCTTATAGTCATCCTCTGTGCCTTAGTTTTCTCATTTGTGAAGGGCTGTGCTGAAGGACTACCCCATAAGCCTGTCCCTGCTGTTTGCAATGACACGGGCAACCTCCCATCACCTTCCTCCAAGGCACTGTGAGTTCTGACTGCTGGACTGGGGTTCTGGCGACAAGATAGGCAAGGGAATGGGGTTGAGCTTGCTTGGTGGGGCAGAGGCCCAGGCAGGAGGGCCTTCACTTTGGATCCTGGAGGATGAACCCAAGTGTGTCGAACAGGCAGAATTCCAGGGATTGTGTGTGTGTCAGGGTTCCCAGAAAGTTCTGGATGGGCAGTGGCTGGCTGTGTGTGAGGATGGGGCAGGATGCTGAGCAGGAACTGTGTTGGGTTTTTAAGGCCAAGCTTCTCAAACAATGGTTTTTCTTTGGGATACACTACTCAAAACTGGGGCATAGAGACCTGCATGTTCACAGGATTTGTCATGTTTATGCATAGAGAGGTTAATGCTCTTACATCTGGGCCAGAGGCTTCCTTGGGCTACCTATCGAGGGGCTGGGAGCTCCACAGGCTGCCAGGCTTCACCTCTAAGTGGTAGTCTTTGCATAGAGTTTTTTAAAAAATTGAGTTCTTTTAATGTTTTCTATTTATTGATTTTAGAGAGAGAGAGAGAGAGAGAGAGAGAGAGAGAGAGAGAGAGAGAGAAAGGAAGAGGGAGAGAGAAATTTGTTGTTTCACTTATTTATGCATTCATTGGTTGATGTTTGTATGTACCCTGACTGAGGATAGAACCCAGAGCCTTGGTGAATTGGGATGATGCTCTAACCAACTGAGCTACATGACTAGTGCCTCAACTGAGTTTTTGAAAAATTTAAAAATGCCTCTCTAGGCCCTTCTTAGCATTGGCATATATGCAGCTTGCATTAGAGAAGGTAATTCTGTTTTCTTCTGATATCCATTAAAATTGACATGCTACTGTTAAGATAAAAATCCCACTCTCATTACACTGGAGACCTGCCATCCACTTGGACACTTGGGCTGATGTCTCTTATCTGAGGAAGAGGAGTTAGAAGATGGGGTCTTTGGTGACAGGAACGTCCAAAGCGTTAGTTTCTAGTGATTGAATTTGATGTATAATATGACAGGGATTCTCATGTGCTGTTAATTCCACTTCCTGCCTTTTTTGTCCTAAAGATGATTTTACTTATGAACTTGGAGTGGTTTTTCTCCACCCACTTGCCTTAGGAGATCTTTGTTAACAGAGAAATACTAGAAAATTGGGGTATTTCTTTATTTCAGCATCATGCTGCATTTCAGTTAAGGGGAGCGGGGGAGAAGGAAGCCTGTAAAGGGCTACAAAAAGCAGCCAGTGTGATTAGTCAGCTTATGAAGTAGTGGATTCATCTCTGTGTTTCCTCAAAGTCAGCAGAGCATTAGGCCCACTGAGGGGAGCTTGTCCTCATGGAGTCAAGTGCGCTGACACCCGTGTGGGGGTACCTTTAGTCTTTGTTCACTGGTGGATCATGTGGATTCTACTTTAGACTATTAACATGGTAGATCACATAGATTAATTTTTTTAATCGAGTAATTTGCATAACATAAAATTCACACTTTTAGATGGTACAATTCTGTTTTTTTTGGTATATTCACAAGGTTGTGCAACCACACCACAGTCTAATTCTTTTTTACCTTTTATTTTTAACTTACTTTATTGTTGAATGTATTATAGATGTCCGCCCCCTTTTTCCCCATTGACCCTCTCTTCCCCAATCCTGCACCCCTCCTACCTTCCCCACACTATTGTCAGTGTCCACTGGTTATGCATATATGCATAGAAGTTTTTTGGTTTATCTCATCCCGCCCTCCTTCCTCCTTCCCTTTGAGGTTCACCAGTCTAACAACCAATTTGTACTTCTTAATTCCTTTATCTTTTTCACCCCCCAACCCCACCCATCTGGAAAGCATCAAAAAGTTCTCTGTATCTATGAGTCTGTTTCTGTTTGGCTTGCTCATTTTGTTTGTAGATTCAATTGTTGATAGATATGTATTAATTGCCATTTTATTGTTCATATTTTTGTTCTTCTTCTCTTTCAAGAAGATCCTTCAACATTTCATATCATACTGGTTTGGTGGTGATGAACTCCTTTAGCTCTTTCTTGTCTGGGAAACTCTTGATATGTCCATCAATTCTAAATGATAGCTTTGCAGGATAGAGTAATCTTGGTTGTGGGTTGTTGCTTTTTATCACCTTGAATATCTCTTGCCACTCCTTTCTGGTCTGCAAAGTTTATTTTGAGAAATCAGCTGACAGTCTTATGGGAGCTCCTTTGTAGGTAACAACCTGCTTTTCTCTTGCTGCTTTTAAGATTCTCTCTTTGTCTTTAACCTTTGGCATTTTGATGATGATATGTCTTGGTGTGGACCTCTTTGAGTTCATCTTGTTTGAGACTCTATGCTTCCTGGACTTGCACGTCTGTTTCCTTCACCAAGTTAGGGAAGTTTTCTGTCATTATTGTTTCAATTAGATTTTCAGTTTGTG